AGGGCTTGGCCTTCTCCAGTTCCAACAGCCAACTACATAAGCTATCTGCAGGAAAAACAGCCTGACTGATCTTGCTCCTCTGCTCAATGTACACACGTTTTATGGCTCTGTGGTGTAGGAAATCTATGCTATGTTCAGAGTTCAAAGGCAAAGGCAATTACTACAGATTACCCTGGCACTCAGCATGCGTCATTCATTACTGTTAAGTACAGGGTGACCAGACAGCAAGTGTGAAAAATCAGAACAGGGGTGGGGGGTAATAGGAGCCTATATAAGAAAAAGCCCCAAATATTGGGACTGTCTCTATAAAATCGGGACATCTGGTCACACTAGTTAAGTATTACTCTTTCCATGTTGCCCTTTCCACTCTGATGACACATCGTTTGTCCAATTTAAATGACAGACATCTCCATGCCATGCCCTACATTGAACACTGCCCTTCCTGAGCCCATGAAACAGGCCCTTATCCTATCCTCATTCAAATCCTTCCTGAAGGCCTATCTCTGTCTATGGTACACTTAACTACAGTGGGCTGGATGCAGGGTAATTTGGGATCGTCTACACATATAAAGATATAAGACTTAGACACACTAGACTGTGTGGAAGTCAACGTATGCACCATAAAAGGTGGATGAGTGCAGTCAAGCCTGGCAGAATTCAAACCTGTGCTTTTAGGGAGTCTAGGCAGGGATTGCAAACACAAGCTTTAGAGCACCAATGTAGAGTCTCTTTCTCATGTCACTACAACGTTGCATTATTTGGACGTGGTCTATCACCACCCAGCAATTTTGTTTGATTGCTGTTTGATCTGTACCAAGCAGTTTTCGTGTCATGATCACAAGCAGCATTCTATGCTTGGGGCCAGATTTTCAAAGCAGACTCCTAAACTACCCCCACAAAATGCTGCCTTTGCACAAAAACCAGCATGCATTTTTGCTCTACCCTGAACTGAGCGCTATATGCTGGGAGGCTCCAACTTTATAGTAGATATGAAAATAGCTCCAGTCACCTCCATTTTATACAAGTGTAGGGCAGCCCTGGCTCCTGCCAAGTTGCAAGCACAGTTCCTTCAGGTGGGTGAAGTATGGACACTCCCGTCTACAAGAGTCAAGAGAATCCCCAAGGTAACCATACAACCCGATCACCCTACTTACCATAAGGAAGTAGAAGAGCTCCAGGGAGTTAGATGTGTCAATGAATCCCTCACACATTAGGATACCTATCCATACACTGAAATCTTTAACCCACTCCTTTGCTCCTACGATATGTATAGATGGATGAAATCAAGGGGAATTCTTACACAACATACCAAAGGGGCATCCAGCAATTAATGAGCTGGATTTTCTTGATGCACCTTCTGAATATTTATCTTGGCTGCATCACAGAAACTATTGCCAGTTCAGAAGGCACCTTAGCCATGGCCTGAGAAGTAATTTTTTTTCCCCACACAAAATTATTTTATCAAATCCTCCAATCCATCCGTCTTAGATGATGCCACATCTGTTCCATTTTTACTGGAAATTGCTTTCATGGCTAAAGCCCCCTCAACTATGTTGAAGTGTTATTTGTTGGGACATGGGAAAGAACCTGCAAAGGCTGGTTGTTAGAGTCAACCTTATCATGACATTCTTGATAAGAGGGATTTCTGCCATACTTTGGCAAACAATGCCAGATTTCTAATGTCCTTTACCTTTAAATGAAACTTCTTCCAGGTGTGAAAGCTTACGTTTATCTTGTTTAAAATTATAGAGCCAGGTCCTCAAGTTGTTAATTATTTACCTTGTCACTCATCAAGTGTATGTGTCAATTAACCAGAGTTTGCCTCCCCGACAGAGCCCATCTGCTCCTTCTTGCTTAAGCCAGCAATGAAGCCATAGCGCTGAAGATTTTTCTTGGCAATGGGTTATATCTAGAGCGAGGCAATTGTTTTTGCACAGAACCTTTTCTCCCTCCGCCCCAAAAAAAACCCAAACCAAAACAACCCAACCCCACAGATTCGGTTCGAATTTGGCATACTGAGAATAAAAGTTTCAACTTTTCTTCATTTTGGAATTTCCCTCAATTTTAAACAGATTTTAAAACTTTCAAAATCAAAACCAAACGTTATGGTTGATATGACACAAACCTTTTTTTCCAACATTTCAGTTTGGCAAAAATTTCAACACATTTTGGTTTCAGGTCAACCAAAAAACAATCTTTTTTCAGACCTGCTCCTGAACCAAATATCTGGTTATTCACACAGCCCTAATTATACCATCAGTCTGGTTTTGAGATGGCAAGGCAGGATCAAACAGAAAATTTACACTGAGTGCTAAGAGAGAAAACCCCTGCTGAAAACACAAATACTAGCATTAATAGTATGGCAAGTACAACTGACCCAGCCAATTGCTTTCTGCAGACCAGGGATTGGCAGTCAACTACAAGAGACAGCCAGTGACAATGCTGATGCACTAGGGTTGTTTGCACTTTGCAGAACTCTTGCAATTATTAATGAGACAGAACACTGCACTGTTTCAATGGATATATTTAGAAATGACTCATAACTCATTCTTTCTAAATCTGTTTGGAAGCCTGACCACAAAATCTGTTTCCTCATCTAACCTGCTCATGTTGTTGTCTATAACTCTGCTTGGTTTGTGGCTTGTGAGCATAAGGAGAGGGGCACTAGGTCACTGTTTGGTTACATATTTGACACCAATTCAGTCCAGTTTCCCTACTATACTATTAGAAAGTGGACAGTTCTGTGCATCATGTACTCAGTCACAGTGCTGGTCTACACTCCGACTAGGACATGCTAGTGACAGCCCGTTTGTTGTTTGCACATTTCAAGCAGAGTGTCCCGGATGGGCATGGACAGAGAACTTTTTGTCTGAGAATTGGGATGTCAGAACCAGTGGTGGGGATATACAGTGATCTATAGGACAGTTTCATTGGCAGGGCTTAATAAACAAAAAAATCCTTGTCTTTGTCAGAGAGAATCTTGCTAATAGAAAGCTATAATTACGTTTATACATCCTAACACGGGACTAATCAGCAAGGACAGGGCCAAATTCTAAGAATTTTCCTTTTTACACGGAGGTGCCTCTGTTCAGGAAATCTTTACAAATCAAAGTACCCAGATAAACACACTGTAACAAATTGTTATTTTTAAACAACTCACTTGCCAAAGTATAAGATTGTTTCTGGCTTAATGGCTCCATCCAGGTGGACATGAAGTTCTACCTGTAAAGACAAATAACATTCATATAACTGTGAAAGTAATCTCTGGATCAGAAGATGCTACAAATACAGCCAGTGTGGTGGAGTCACAAGATGAGAGCTAAAAGAGAGAACTTAGAAAGCTACACAATATAGAAAAGGTACTTGATAAGTTATTTATTGAATATCTGAAAATTGACAGAATTGGATTCATTGTTCTTCCCGGAGGTCACATTTTTAACATTCCTTTACACGCAAACTTTGTTTCCAGCAACCTTTACACTGCTCAGGAAATTGTCCTACTCATATTTGGTCCCGCAATATGTAGGGGCGGGAAGTGACATTTGCTTCTATCCTGCTCTATCTTGATATTCATAATCTCTTAAACCCGTAGCCCTCATCCGTTCAAGACTACTGTACCCTTTCAGGAGTCTGATTTGTCTTTTGTACCCTCAAGTTTCACCTCAATTAAAAACTACTTGCTTACAAAATCAAATATAAATATACGGAAGTGTCACAGTACACTATTACTGAAAAATTGCGTACTTTTTCATTTTTTACCATATAAATATAAAATAAATTAATTGGAATATAAATATTGTACTTACAATTCAGTGTACAGTGTATATAGAGTAGTATAAATAAGTCATTCTCTGTATGAAATTTTAATTTGTACTGACTTTGCCAGTGTTTTTTATGTAGCCTGTTGAAAAACTAAGCAAATATCTAGATGAGTTGATGTACCCCCGGCAGACCTCTGTGCACCCCCAGGGGTACATGTACCCCTGCTTGAGAACCACTGTCTTAAATGCTGACTAATCCTGATTTCTGCTCGCTGAGAATGCCTTTCCATAAGCACCTCAGTTTCTCAACCAAAAGCTACTCTTGCTTTGATCACGTTTCAAAATGGTGTTTTAGTTTAGGCCCATTACATGTGAGACAATAGCCCAAATCACCTTTAATTCTAAACCCCTGCTTGCCACACATTTTCAGAGAGAGAAATAATTATTGCTAGGAGCAAGACCTCTTGGAAGATGAAAGACTGGTACCTTTTCAACATTTGGTGGACGTTGCAAATTATTTAGGAGAAAGTTGGTAAACATGATTTGGAAAGCACAAAGTTAAGAGGAAAAAACCTTAATGATAAGATATTTAAGCAATATTTTGTGTGTGCAAATACAATTGTTCTGGGAGCCCTGGGAGAGAATGAGACTTGCAAAGGAAAATGGGAAGAAGTTCTCAAGTCCATCACAATTATCGAGGAAGAATGGGATGAGATATTGTAATTAACTCCAGGCATGTGGAGAGGAGAGAGGCACAGCTTACATCTTTCTTTATAATAACTGTTCAGTGTCAACATACCAGTGCTTGGAAGCAAATGTAAACAAAGACTCTTCTGCACCATGGGCCTCCCACGGAGGCTGTTTCCCATATCTCCTGGGATCACGTTCTCCAAAACTGACTTTTTGGAAAGTGAAAAGCATTGAACAGATTCATTTTATTGAAGATGTTGCCACATTTACTAAGTCGTTAAGGGAAATTTCTCATCTTGTTGACTTGCACTGATGGGAGCTGTGCACGCAATTCTCTGCCATCTCAAGGAGAAAACGCCCCTCAGTTGTTTTTAAAATGTTATCCAGACCAAATGAATCATTTTTTAAAACCGTAAACAGGCATTCAGCATGGAGATAAGTGAGGATAGTCATAGTATGAAGAGCACAAGACCTTGGTTATTACATGTATATTGTTGTCCAGGTCTTTCTGACAACTGCATGGATTGCAATGTACCTACCTTGAAACAAACAAAGAGACTCTCCTATGAGTAGAGACTTAAGAGATCTAGACTATTCAGTTAGAGAAAAGATGAATAAGTAGTGACTTAAGAAAGACAAACAAAATAATGAATGGGACAGAGAAGGTAAATGAGGCACACCTGTTCACTAGTTATCAATAGGAGAGATGAGGACATTCAAAGACATTTTAAAGGCAAAAAATTTAAGACTTAGAATAAAAAAATTTAATGCAATGCAAATTTAACCTGTCGAACTCATGCTACAAGATATTGAACTCAAGAACTTAATAGGATTCAAAAAAAGACTGGACATCTATGTTGATAATGAGAATACCCACAGTTACATTGAATCCCATAAAAAAAGGAAGAGGTATAAATCCTCTTGGCGTCAGAGCATATGCCAACCAATAACTGACAGGGGTTAGAAAGAAACTACCCCTACAGACACGTTATTCCTTAATCATTCCTTAACTGTCCACTTCAGGTTTACTTCTGACACAGTCGGTACTGAGCAAAGTAAAAAACAAGAACTCAACTAGCTGGACTACTAGTCTGATCTGGTAATTCCTGCTACTCTGGGTCAAAGTAGTAGGTTTTGGAGTTTGCTCTGCTCATGCCCGTCCTACTGTCTTTCAGGAGTTCCAAATTTGTGGGCCAGTCACTGAGAAAGAGGTGCCTCCTGCATATAGGAGTTGCCACCAGTCCAGGTTTTCCCAAGATTGTCCCTTTTTTGAGGTAGCTGTCCTGGGAAATCGCTAAGAGTGCTCGATATGCACTGCCAGCTGTCCAGTTTTGTGGGCTAAGGATCATCCCGGATGTCCCATTTTTTTTCCACCTCAGAAGTGGCTACCCTACCTGCACAGGAGTCTGATGCAAGGTTCACAGTCCCATTGGAACATGCCATTGCAGCAAGCCACAGTCACATGGAGAGCTTTGAGTGAGACTAAAACTTGGCATTTGAGCCAGTATTACGTAAGGAGCCTGGGCAGACAGCAAAAACATTGGAATGATGGACTCTTGGTGGCCTGAGATGCTGGACAAACAGACTGCTCCATTCAAAACCAACTGGAGCTTTCAGTTATAGTCATCAAGCCTAGGTGTCATGCATATATAACAACCATGGCTAAGTACAAAGCATTATACATCATGGCTAAGGCTACGTTTTAGTCACAGGTATTTTTAGTAAAAGTCATCAACAGGTCACAGGCAGTAAACAAAAATTCATGGCCCATGACCTGTCCATGAATTGTACTATATACCCCTAACTAAAACTTGGGCCGGGGGGAGGCTGCTAGTGCTGGGGAGGAGGTGGCCCACGACCCCTGCTGGTGCTGGGGGGGAGGGCTGGCGGTGGTGTGCGGCCTGGGACCCTTGCTGAGGGTATGGTAGGCTCCCTACCCAGCTCTGCGCAGCTCCCCGAAGCAGCCAGCATATCCCTGCAGCCTCAGGATTACAAGCAATGCTTTTCTCTCTGCCCCGATTTGCAAACCCCTGAATGGGACTGGATCTAGTTACCTGAAATACCACCTCTCCAAAGACAGCTTTGTTCCACTAGATCAATGAAACCGTCGACCAACAGGAGACTCATGACTTCAGGAGGCAGAACTTTCATAGGAGCCAAACCAAGACTATGGAACTCACTGCCACATGACATGAAATTGAGCACTAGCCTCACAGCATTCAGATCTAAATACACTACAAACCTTTTTATTTCGACAGAGCTTTTCAGCAATAGCTCTCTCTTGTGTTCTGGCACTCATGCTTCTTTCATTTACTCTTTTAAAACACATACACACAACCTCTGCCAACAGGCTTGGCAGAGATATCGTTTTTTTTATTCTAGGGAGGCATTCAGTTTCTATGGAGATAGATGCAAATACAAAAACCCATATAGACAAGGTCAAAACTTGGTCATTCACAGGCATGAGATTTTTACCCATACATGAATTATATGGTTCTAGTAATTAGGACAAGGCTACCTGAGTGGGACCCAGAATGGAATCAGCTGTGGGGGAAGATGGGGAGCAGAGGACAAGGGAAGCAATAGAAGGAGAGAGGTAGCAGCAGGGAAGAAGGGATGGGAGTCAAGGTGGAAGAAGTTAGCAAGAAGGACAGGAGTGAAGGATGTGGATGGAAGAAAGTGCAGCAGCAGGAGGGAGCTGTAGACCATGCAGAGCACAAAGTGATACAGGTCCTGGATCCGTCCTCCTCAAAATGTAAAAACCTGGCAAGTTTTGAATTCTTGGGCTCCAATTCCATACAATGACTGAGGCGTCACTCCTTGGGGGTTTTGGTGGCCGCACAACCCTTTGATAGAATTATAGGCTTGAGGCTCACGATCCATATTTATTCCACATTGTGCCATGTACAAAATCCTAGCAACGTGCAGCTACATGTTCCTACCTCATCTCAAACATTTCCTGCAAAAGCGACCCACAAGTGCAGTACTTTAAAAGGAAGCTACTTAATGTTGCTGTCACTTCCATGAAATTGTGGGCCATCTGCCTCTACCCTCTGTTGCTATTGTAAACAAGACACTTGTAAACTGCAGCAGGAAAGTAACAAGGTTCCACTCCATGTCTCCGGGAGACGGTTCTCTCCCCCTCAAATAGCTTGCGATAAAACAGGGATAATGAAATTGGGTGAGGAGCGTCTGAGCAACTCCACCCAAGGTAGCGTGCAGCTTGCAAGGAAAATGCCCAGCACCTTCAGGTTCCCAGGGCTGCAAGGAGCTACCCAAAGCTGACTGGAGCCTTTTCTATCCAAATGAAATGGACAAGTAGGGAACTGGATAAGCACAGGACTTTTCACATTGTTTATCATGGCTGGTCGCATCTTTGTTTCACTCTGCCTCCTTAGGACTGGGGAGATGTATAGGGGTTTTTAATTTTGGGGGGACACCATTCCCTTTCCCAGAAACTCTTCTGCCAGATGCTGTTGGTTCTTGAGGACGTGGATGACCGTTACAAAGATCTAGCTCTTCTTCCACCCTATGCAGTCCAAACATCCAGTGATGTCTCATCCACCTTCACCACTGCTGGGGAACTTGGCCCTCATCCACTGGGTCCATCGTTGGCTCTCGCTCATTACTCTGAGCGGGGTCCCTTATCAGGTACTACTTCAAACTTTCCATTGAAGGGCAAAGGGGTGCACACATTGACACCACCTGGCACCGCCTGCAGGGCCACCCCAGAGATTTGTGGATTCATAGGATTCAGCCAGATCTGGGAAC